GGGGTGCTCAGAAAGAGGGCCCTATGCCCAGGCTGCTCCCCAGCACATCCGCACCACACCATCCTCTGCTACTGCCTTTCCCCAGCAGGACTCCTGCATGCTAAGCACAGCAGGCCTGGGGCCCAGAAGTGGCCTAAACGGATGCAGCTCAGGGATCAAGGACTAGGACACAAGATTCATGATTAGCTCCACACAGGGGACTGTGTAGTCACTGATGTCCCTCTCCTCACTGCCCTGATGGGAGTCCTCACTGGGTTCCATTGTGGTTCTTTGATAGGGCAGAGCATGGGATGTGTCCAAGAGCAGTTCTGGAAGAAAGCCTCAGAGCTATACAGACAGAGGGGGACAGAAACTGTCTGACAGTTCCACTGGTAAATAGATCAGTGGAGTGAGAAACCCAGGTCCTGTGAAGGGTAAAGCAGTTGAGTTGTTCCTTGGGGCAAAAGGGCTTCACCAGCAAGCATTCTCAGGGTTTCTGAGAACAAGATCCAGGACAGCATTGCCAGACCTGCCACATGCTCTGCACCCCTTCCTTGTTTCTGGAAACAGCTGATGTGACAATAAATAATCTGTCATAGGGTGTGGGTGTCAGAGAAGGAAGGGACAGACTTAATAGCTCTTTCTCAGGCTGAGCTGGCCTGCTATCCTGCAGGATACCAGAGATGCAGTCTAGAGAAGCAGCCAAGCACACTGTCCTGTTTATGGTGGCACCTGGCTCTGCAGCAGACCTTCTGCCATGTGCAGGAATGGCAGTTACTGACAGCTCTCCCCTGTCATGACAGCCTGCTCTAGCTCACTTGGCCTAGAAGAGAAGATTGCAACAAAGGAGATCCTGGCATGAGCATGTGACCCAGGGGCCCCTCAGTTCAAAACATCAGTTACTGCTTTGTGTGGTGACTCAGCCTGGGAACAAGGCCTGCCATGGAGTCCCATGTGGAGTTCAAGTCTTGCCACACACAACAGCCCCAATTTGGCAGAGAGAAAGCAACAAGAGCCTGAAAAAGCTGGTTGAGTGTAAGGGCCATCTTCTGCCTATGTGTGACCTGGATACACGTTCAGAGCCTCCTAGGAAAAGAGACAGTGCTGCTGCTGAGGAGGATTCCTGTGAGGACTGTGGAAGCCAGCATGTCGGAGGCACTGGATAAATGTTATGCTATCTTCTATTTCAGATTTCTAGGGGCCGGGGAGATAGCTTAGTAGAATAAGTGCTTGTGTGGCAAGCGCAAGGGCCTGAATTCAATTTCAGGTTCAAAAAAAAAAAAAAGATTTCTAAAGTGACGCAGGAAAGCCCTGACTAGGTCCTGGTGCCTGTAATTCTCTATACTGTTTTCAACACAAAAATCACTGCATTTATTCTGTAAGAATGTCAATTTACAACAGGGCCAATAAATGGCTTTTCCTTAACTGCCTATATAAAAACTTAAAACTTTTACAACTTTCATGATACAGTGAATGATACAGTTCACTCTGTGAAATTTTTATGGTTGTGGTTGTTCAGAAGGGCGAGAAGCTGCCTGGCATAATTTTGGGACGAATGGCAGGCACTGTGGAGGGTCCCTCAACCTGCCATCCAGCTCATCATGTGGATGGGCCCACATGAAGGTCTCCCTGCTCTGACCGACTGTGAGGCCTAAGGGCCAGGAATCTAGACACTCTGTTGATGCATCAGTGGGAGCATATTCATTACACATCTGCTCAAGTATATATCTCAGGAGGGTATTTCTCAACCACAGACCCTCCATGGGCCCAGGAGCTCTGCAGAAAAAAAAGCATGAAACCACCACCAACAATGAAAAGGAAAATGCACATGTCCCCAGTTCAGCAATTCCAGTTCTGGGGATTTAACCTCGAGGTAGCCAAATAAACTCACAAAAAGAAATGGGTTTAAGGGGCTAGGGAGGGCTGGTGAGATGGTTCAGTGGTCTAAAGCACCTACTTAGAACAAGCTTAGCAAAGCACAGGGACCTCAGTTCAATCCCCCAGCACCACATTCCAGCCAGCCCCGCCCCCTGGTGGGCTGAGCTGGCCACACACACACACACACACACACACACACATAAATAAATAATTTAAGGGGCTAGGGAGATAGCTCAGTAGAATAAGCGCTTGCCTGGCAAACACAAGGGCCTGAGTTCAATCCCCAGTTCCATGAAAAAGAAAAGAAAGAAAAAAAGAAACAAGTTCAACAAGTGTCTCTGTGGAACCATGTGTAGCAGGAAAAAAATGAAACCACAAAAATCAAAACACCTACATACCCCAGAAAAGGAAACAATCTAAATGTTCACTGAGAAAGGACTGGTTAACTATGTTCTGTCTGTTGCAGTACTACCCAGTCTTTTAAACTAGACCCAAACCTACTGAGAAAGATGTCTAAGTTATCCAAGCGAAGCAAACTACAGTACTATTTGTATAATATGATCCTGTTTTGACTGAAAATAAAAGACTAAGGGCCGGGGAGATGGCTCAGTGGAATAAGCGCTTCCCTGGCAAGTGCAAGGGCCCAAGTTCAATCCCTGGTTCCGCCAAAATAAATAAATAAATAAATAAATAAATAAATAAATAAATAAATAAATGACTATACACTTTAAAATATGCATAGGAAATCTCTAAAACAAAGTCAACAGTGGATACCTCTAGGAAATAAGGACCAAAGAAGGAAAGGGAAAGCTTTGTTGTACATTCTTCTTTTGCATTTGACTACTTTACCATAGGCTATAATACTCCTTTTTGAAAATCTAGAGATTTTTCTGAACCCACTAGAACAGTTAAGTACAGTGGAATTAGGAGAGGCTGGGCTTCAAAGAAGGCAGACCTCAGAGGGTATGGCACGGCAGCTAAGAGGCCCAGATGGGTGAGCCCGTGTGTCCATGCGAGGGTGCATCAAACAGCCAAGGCCAACACTCCTGGTAAACTGTAGATTTTCCAGGTAGCTTCACAGCTTATCTAGAAGGACTTTCCTGCTTGCTAACTGGCATATATAAGGGCTGAAAGGTGCACACGAGACTTCTCTGGAGATATCACAGACCTGCTAGCAAAGATGTGATGGGGGCCTCACAAGAGCTGGGCCTGAGGTCCGGGCAACACACCAGGCATGAGCCTAAACAACAATAGCTGCTGTTTAAACTAGTAATTACTAGTTTGCATGCAGATATTGTTATGTCAGTGGTATAGAAGAGGAAGCTATGGTTAGAATGATTTGTTCAAAGTTATTTAGGCAACAAGTGTCAAGAGCTGTGTTCAGAAGCCAGGTGTTACTTTAGCCTTGGTCCTTCACTAATCAATAATGTGACTTCAAGGATCCTTATCCCACAGGACAGGAGGGGAAGAACTTGTAGTGGCAATTCTATTCTTCCGACAAAGAAGGAACTAGTTTAGGTTTATCAAGGTCTCTTCTAGCTCTGTGGCTTTGAATCCAAAATGCTATGTGGACTGGGATACATGGGGTTAGAGCCTGGCCAGGACTGAGGAAGGGAACAGCCTGAGTTCTAGAGTTACACAAATGCAGGCTGAAGTCCTAGCTCTGTCCTCACTGGCTGTGTAAGGGTAGGCTGGCTCCTTAACCCCTCTGAGTCTAGCCTGAAAGCAGAGACCAGCCAATATCATACTGTAGAGTACTTCACAAAGAACGGCATGGTGGTAGGAATCCTTTTTGGCTCTTTTCGTTCCTGTTTCTTTAGGAGGAAACGCTTCAGAAGAGTCAGAAGAGAACAAAGTCTTACCCCCCAAACCTGGTAATGCCATAAGTGCCATACAAACTGTAAAAGTATTCTTGTTCCCCAGAGCTGGTAGATGCCAAGATGAGAGTCCCATAACCCAGAGAATGTCAGGTTATACCAGTCTCAAGGTTTCCCAAGGAGACCGAGTAAACTTCAAGCTTAGTTATGTTTATTCATTATTTTTTTTTGTTCCTCGAATGCCTTCAGGGCACTTTTGGCCATCGGGAGAGGTGTGAGGTTCGAACTCCAGCAACCTGAGGCTGACAGCTTTGTGGAAGCAGCCACTTAAAGGCCTGAGCTAGGGCCAGGCCCCCATGTTTATTCATTATTATACCTTAATACATTTCTCAGCAGCTCTGCCCCAAACTGAAAGATAAATGGCAGGCAGGTCAGTCCCCATCTGCCAATCCCCACCTCACTTACCAGCTTATTCTCTCTTCTTTCCCTGAGCCACAGACTTCCTAAAGGCAAAAGAGCCCCAGTCTCTCTTACCAGGTGGATGGTGATCTGTAAACACTTTTTTAGAGGGGACAGCTTCATTCCAAATGACAGAAGCCCTTCTTGATTTTGCTAGCTTTGGTGCTTCCCAACAACTAGCTTCTTTGAAATCACCAAGCCTTGAGACAGCTAGCCCCTAGGGAGCCAGAAGTCACACTCAAGACAGAAGCCATAGCTGAGAGAGAATGACCACTACTGGCTGCTGCTATCTACTCCACCCAGGAACAGATGTGCTTGAACGGGGTAAGGATGCTCTAGTTTATTAAAGGAGGGCCCAGAAAGTCTTCTAAAAAGGAGCAGTAACAACCTTTTCTGGGAATTTATCCTGTAGAGATCTAAGGTGGACAAAATCATAGGCACAAAGAAAATCACTTTAGCTTTCAGAAGCAAAAGACAGAAAATAACCTGTGTTTACCATCAACAGAGAGCTTATCAGGGAGCCAGAGAGACAGTTCAGTAGAAGCGCCTGACTGGCAAGTGCAAGGTGTTGAGTTCAATCCCTGGTACCACAAAAGAGAGAGAGAGAGAGAGAGAGAGA